CAGATGGAATCAGCAGGGGAGAAGCATCCCCGTTTTTGATGTCTTACAGAGCCAGGCACACAAAGGTACAGAGCAGTGCCTACTCCTGCTGCAGAGCTGGACTCATACAGACCAGCCAGCAGGTCTTGCTTTTCATCTTCTACAAACTTCACATTTCAAACATGCTGAGCACAGGAACCCTTCAGTGTCTGCACTACCGACCTTCCAATTCTTTTTCTGCACAGTCCTAACAACATGCCAAAAATAAACTGAGGTTTCCATTGCCTATAGGAAAAGCAAGGGAAAAACACTTGCATGGCAGCTGAAGCAAAGCTCATTTTACACTCTCCAGTCACTAATACACAAAGTGCAAACCCCTGCATGCCCTGATATTTCCTCAGTAATAATAAAAATACCAGCCCTCATCCACATGCACAAAAAAGACATTTTTCTTTGATGCTTGTAGCTTATTGATTTTCAGTTGTTCAAGTATAACTGAATCTGTGAGACTTCACCTCTAACCGCCCTGCATGTTCTTTTATGTTACAGAACAGTTTCAGGCAGTAAAATGTCAAAATAAACAAGATAAACAGGTAACTGTGACAAGTTTTCCCAAGGGCAGAAAAACATTATCAGCACCTGCTGCTTTTTCCATCTGCTCTGAAGTACTCAGGAGAAAAATCAGAACTTTTATATAGTCAATACTTTGTAAGTTCTGATTGGTATTGATTCCTTTAGGAAAACCCAGGCTGTGCATTTATATATATGCCTCTATAAAATGAAGAGAGCACTATAAATACAATCTATTCTGGAATCCAAGGGGCTTCAGGCCAGGACACAGCTCTTTTTACTTCAACTGTCTATTCCTCCTTTCCAGTGTTGGCCTGCATGTAATGGCCTGCTGACCTGGGCTCCTACATACAAATCCTCAGCATTGCTTGGAAGACAGATGCTGTCTATTCCTCCTTTCCAGTGTTGGCCTGCACGTAATGGCCTGCTGACATGGGCTCCTACATATGAATCTCAGCATTGCTTGGAAGACAGAGAAGTGGAAATGGAGAAGGAAGGAAGAAGTTAATTTCTGGTCTAACACACAGCAAGACAGAGCATCACGTGGAAGAAATTGCCTTCAAGCTTTGCAGATAAGGGCTTGCTTCTGGCCCTGCCACCACTTTTATGAGTGGCTTAGTTATAACTGGCTCAAGTTGGGTTTAACCTGGCTCACTGCCTAAGTATTTACTGTTTCTCACACATCTGAGGCTGAGCTGGGTGTATTGGGGCTCAGTGTCATTAGCACAGTCACAAACACAGCAGCTCAGCAGGGCCAGGTGGGCTCTGTGGTGGCCACTGCCAACGCAGGACAACACCAAGGACAGGTTTTGCCACTGAGAAAAGCCCCTTGTAGAGGCTTTTACTAATTCTTTTCCTAATTTCTGCATTGCCACAAGTCAGGGAAAGCTGTAAGCTACCAGAACAGAACGATCCCTGTTTTTTCCACAGGATACTTTTTTTTTCTTCCCAAAACATGTTTTGACTTCCCAGCAAAAAGAGCTTTGTACCAAGAAAGCCAGCTTCCCCGGCCACAGTACCCCCAACTCCTGGGGCAGAACAGCCCCCTCCTACCTCAGCAAGATGTCTCTCACAGTTGGGTCTCACCAGTCCCCATTGCAAGTGGACACGGGCCCAGTTTCACACCATCTTCAAGTGTTGAAGCCCTGCTGATCTACAGGGACCCCACCAGCAGTTGGGGCAGACATGGTGGCCACAGTACAGTACCTTCCTCTTCTTCCAGCCATACTCTACCAGGGAAGAAAGGAAAAACCTCTCTCTAGGGCAATTTGAGGCCATGGGGTTGGGTGTGACACTGCCCTGCCCAGGGGAAGCTCATCAGCTCATCAGTCCCAGCCCATCCCTGACCAGCACAGCTGTGCCCAGGCCGCCATCCCTGCAGCTCGGGGCCCTCCAAACCAAACCGAAACAGTCCCTCGGGAGTGTTTGACAGCAGCTTGTTGTATTTACAATTAAATCACAGCTGGGGGGAAAGAGGGGGAATATTTTCTTCAAGCTGGCTGTGAATTACAGGCAGAGCCCCCCTCTCCTGGAGGCTCCTCAGGTGATCCCACTGAGGTGCTGAGGGGCTCCTGTGATGGCAACGGCAGCATGAATGTGACCTGGACCTGGTCTCCTGGACAAACCAATGTGGTGCTGCCAGTGCCCCGGCCTCCTAAAATGCTTTTTTTGACCCATTTCCCAGCAGGAGAAGCTTGAAAGAAATTATTTGTCCCCAGCGGTGCCAGGCCGGCGTTGTGGGGCGCGGGGGTGCTGCGATGACGGCAGGACAAATACCCACAAAAAAATGAGTGTTAAGGCGACTGAGAGTGTTTTGTAATATTTCAAAAGTGTTAGAAAGGGAAATGCTGGTTTTAAAAAAAAAAAAAAAAGCCAAAACTTACGTAAATTGTATCTTAACCACGAATACATTTGTGCATTTCATATTTTCAGATGTACACTCTGTTTTTCTCTAGGTTTCTTTAGTTCTACCAATGGTTTTGCCCTTTCCCATGCTCGTGCCGCAGGGGCTCCCACAGCCAGACACCCGGCTCCACGCTGGCTGTGCGCCCCACCACCATAAAAATCCCCAGGTTACATTAACAGGTTCGTTAACTTTATTGCCCTGGCCAGGTCCCAGTTTGAGGAGGTACAATCCCTCTCATTTCAACCACAAATGTCTTTTTCGATTTTTTTTCCCCTTCAAATTGTGTTGTGCTTTTTACAATGCCTTTTTTCTTCTCCTAATTGCAAAACAGCTGTCACTTTTCACCCAGGACATGGGTTGTGTTTTGATGCCACATTAGTACCTCTATCCCACACATTTATCAAAACCACTGGAAGCCTACCCCGAGGCAAAGCAACCTGCTTGCACTTGAAGAAAACAATTTTGCCTCCTGCTTCCAGAGAAATTCCGAAGTTTTGCTAACAGGAGGAGCACAAGGCAGAAGGAAAGATCACAATTTATTAAACGTGTTACCTGTAAAACTTTCTACATCCAAATAAATTATGTGCTTCAACTGGGCAGATTTATAAACTACATTGATGGCACAGTTTATTTAAAAGGTAATCTAAGCAAGCCATGACTGCACAGCCGTTGCCACTAACCTAAGACATTAAAGTTTCCCTGGCCTCTTAGGTGCTATTATTTGAGATAAGAACCTTATTGGAAGACCATGCTTGGGAGAAAACAGAAACATTTTTCAGTTAATGGTTCAGACCCACCTTGTTTGCTCTGGAAACTGATCTCATACTGTAAATTATATCTCTGCTGTACAGTGCATTACTTATAGCATATGAATAATGGATCTTACAAACAAGCCTTACAAAATGAAAATTCAGTTAACAAAATTATGGAGCTTCCATTCACAAACATAGTTTATGAGTGATAAAAATTTTATGGTTCTTATCACCAATGAAAAAATTTGCATATCCCATCACAGAGTTCTTGCAAGCACATTCTGCACTTCTTATCTCAGGGCTCTCATGGTAAGAAATATTGCATTAGGCCCAGTCATTTACATTTTCCCAATAAAATTCTGAATACATATGCAGCAGCTCTTTACTGACTGACTTCATATTACAAATTATAAGCTTGGAAGTAAATACATTAGGACAAATATTGATTTCTAAATAGTCACCATGAGTGAGATTTTATCCTGGTGTTGAGTTATCACACCTCTTGTCTTTTATAGCTGTATCTTACCTCCCAGCTACTATACTTTCTGGCAAGTAAGTAAATAAATAACACTGCCTCACTTGTGACAGTTCATTTCATTCAGTTCCAAGTGGTGGAAACAGCAGGTACAAGTCTGTGCAAGGGTTTTCTAGCAGCTCTATTCAGACAGACATTTTGGGATCTCCAAGTATTATAAACACTACTTTCAGCATGTCACATCACCAAGCATTGCAGGCTTTACTGTAGAAGGAGCAGATGAAGTTCAGAGTGTGTTGGAAAATACTAGCAAAAAAAGTAGCAGTACTGGTCTGGGGTGTCATGGCATGGATGGTGCTTGTTCATTCAACAAACCTGCTCCACGGTTGTTCAGCAATTTTTTGTTTTAATGGATAATCTCAGCCTTTACTACCTTAACACCATGATTACACATGTGTCTGGTTAGGAAACAGGAACAAGGAACTCGAGAGATAAAAAATAGATAAATAGATAAAAAAAAATAGAGAGCTCGAGTTGCAGTTACAACCGGACCACCCTCCATACTCCCATCACCCCCACTTCGGAAGTGGCATAGAGACTCCCCAAAAACCAGCTCCAGTCAAGTCAGCATGGAAATATAATTGCTGCAACTTGTGGACAGAACCTATTGCCTGAAGAACTGCATGCATACAGCAAAACATGCTCCAAAACAGAGGTGGGGAAAAAAATAAAGAAAAACAGCAGTCCTCATCCTCACAAAGCTCCTTGATGGAGAACAAGCGTGTGGCAGCCCTCGCTGTGCCTCCAACCCTCCCCTACAACCCAAATGCCACCTCATGCCCTGATCTGTCACCACCGTGGCTCCCACACCCTCCTGTTTACAGCCTGGCTGTGCTCTCCTTCCCAGCTGCAACCCAGTTGGCAGGGCAAGGAAAGGGATGTGGCACAGTCTCTCTTTCCATAGCCCCTGATGGACAGACAGACACAAGAAAGGCAAAGGGCCTTGGAGGGACACACAGAGACGAGAGCCACGGCAGTATGGAGAAAGTTTCATCCCTGACGAGGAATGCCACAGTGTGTCAGGCATCTGGCTCACAGGCAGGTGGAAGGGAAACATAGGAATCCAAGGAGATGTCCCAGATGCACTGGGTCATTGTCTTCCAGGTCTGAGCTGGGCAGCTGAGGTGTGCCTGAGCTCAATTGTATTTGTCAATTCAATCTGCTTTCTGGGAGTCAACAAAATCCAAGCTGTTGTTCCAAATATTTATTAAAAAATAGCAAGTGGAAAAAAAAAAATCAATAGCAGTCCAATGGCAGATTTATTACAGTTTTAACAGATAAAGGGAATGAATCTACTTTGTGAACAAAAACAACAATAGGGAAATATACTGAAGGATTCTTAATCAAATTATAAAATGGAAACAGCATATGTAATATATATATTTATATATAAATTTATTGGTTACATTCTTCTTAAATAGATTAAACAACATTCATTAGCAACATCCAAAAGTATTTATTTGTGGCAAGAGATTCCTCTTCCTTCACGGCAATACTAACTCTCCATAAGTTTATGTCCACTGTGACATTTTTAGAGTTTGGGGCTAGAATAGGTATTCAACACCACCAGGTCAAATCCAGAGCAAGTGATTTAAAACCAGTTTATAGGAAATATCAACGTTATTTCTGAGACTTAAGGCCAGGTATGCAACAGATGGAATTGACAGAGCATGGTTTAAGCTGTGGGATCTCCTTGAAAGCTCAAATTTGGATTAAAGCTAGATTCCCACAGGGAAACTCTTGACATTGCTCGGGATTCCAAGTTTAAGACACACTTCCCTTTTTTGTAAACAAAGTTTAACAAAATAAACTCTCTGTACCCTGTTAACCATTTCTTAACATAAAAATAAGGAGCTGCTTGGGTAGCTTTAAAATAAGTCAGTATAAAAATCTATCCTGTCCTAAGCGCTGTCTCTGTGGCAAAGTGCTAGCAAATGGCACAGTGTTTTCTGTTCGAAGCCACGTTCCCTGCTTTTCACTTTTCAGATTGCGAACCTCAGCTCCAGCAGGACTGAGCTCAGGACTCCAACCATGGTGGCTGAATCACCCCAACTCCAGGCTGACTCTTGGGCAGCCCTCACTCACACTGGGATACCCAAAACACTTCTGAATGGGTCACATTAGGGCAATCTCTGTGCTGTTAGATGGATGGTGCCCATCACAGACCTGTCCCCACCCTGCGGGGCAGTGGCAGGGTCTCCACATGCAGCGAGCTGCTCGGGACCCATCCCAGTGCAGCAGGTACTTAACCTGTCCCCTGCAAAGACATGGGCAAGAGCTGGGCTTGGACTCTGCAAGTAGAGGACAAGCAGACCCCGTGTTACATTGCATAGTTTGGTTCGGCAGCGACTCTCTGCGAGACCTGGGGAGATGCTCTATCGTGTTCCTGCTGCTCCCCTCCCTACCAGGTGCTCGCAGAGACTCCCACAGCTTGCCTGTTCAGGACCTCTTTGGCTTACTTGGTTTGGTTCAAATGCTCGCTGGCTGATACTTTGGAGCCTGAATAAGAAATAGTGCAAATACAAGCTTAGAGAAAAAAAAAAAATACCACATTGCCTTCACTGAACATTCAGTTAAAAAGACAAGGATCCATAAGACGAAACCCCAGTTGTGGGGTATATTTGGCAAACTTGTACAAGGTTCTTCATGATTGTCTTAAAGGAGTATATTTGGCTTAGTGCTAGATGCTTAAAATTATTTGCTAGCGTGATTCTAACTAACACTGGTGTGGCTAATTGCAAACGACTTCGAGGACTAGTCACAGAACATGGGACATCTTGGCCTGATGGGACAAACACTTCCTGCAGTTATGGATTCCTCGGTGCTTTTCTTATCCAAGTTTGACTCAAAATGATTTTGTTTGCATGGAATGACGTGAATTCATCCAGACTGGTCTTGTTGAAAGGCAAATGGACCACATTGTTTCTGAGGGTCAAGATACCTTTATTTGGCCATGCTCAGGCAGATGAAGAGGCCAAAACAGAACTCAGTTTGATTCCTATTATGGGAGGCTGGCTGCAGTGCATTTTAAAACAATAATAATCTGAAGTGGCTGAGATGTTCAAGTTTGAAACTTCATGAAGTGCCAGAGTGCCCTATAAGTGCAGAGAACCCCCCACCTTGCACTGCAGCAACCTTCACCACGTGGCAGCACGCAGGCTGCAGTCCTCGCTGAAGCAGTGTGCCATGCAAGGTTTCTTGGTTCACATCAAAAAGGGGCTTAATTTCTCTCAACTCATCTTCCCCCCACAAAAAAAATCAGCAGAACAGATATTCAGCAGCAAGTTGCTTCCAGCAAGCAATGCATAAATGGCTTGTGAACTTCACTAAGGATTAGGCACTTAAGTCTGCTCAGGTTTTTTATAAATCCTCCGTACCTCCATCTCTAAGCACCTACCTGCTATTGCAAAGTCTGGTTCTCTGTGTTTCAGGGCTCAGCCCTGGGAACTAGTCCTGCGCTGACTATGATCAAAGAGAGAAGACTGCACTCTTTGATCAGGAGCGGGGCTGACTGCTCCCCTCATTAGACCAACGGGGCTCAGACCCGCTCCTCTCCATCACACAGCTCCCGCTGTGCCTCCCAGCACACCAGCATCCAGCCAGGTTTGTTAGCTTGAAGACAGAGTTGCACTGAGGGAGTTTTATCTGTTGATTTTATGGGACTGTTTCAAAGCAGGATCTACACATTTAAAACCATAAGGAGATGAATTCACAATGAAGATAAGAAAAAAAGGTCATATTTACAGACAGCTGCCACCACCCCCCTCACACTCTGTTAAAGAAACAGCTTTATCTTTGTCCATGTGCCTGCTTCAAATGTGATATTGGCCTTCCCAGCACTTCAGGACAGTGTTTCCAATGACAAAGATAACAGAGTTCAGGCTTTAACTGAGAACCACTCCCTTCCCCTTCTCCCTTTGTCTGCAAGTGTAAATACTACTGGAACTTAAAAACCAGCATCTGCATTGAACAGATGGGACTCTGCTATGTTTATCTTTTTTTTTTCAAATGATGTTCATGTAGCAGGGACTTCTGAAAGATATTTGGAATGAATGCTGGCCATGACAGGATACTGCTTAAATTAGAATCAGGCTCCAAGTATCTTCCTGCAATTAGATTATGTCGTATGTTATACTCTTACTCATGGCCTGGGAAGGAGAGAGCAAGGGTACTTAATATCTGTAGATATTCAATTAAAATGAGTACATCAGACTCTCACTAGGTCTGGCTTTTGCCTGCCTCACATCTAGCCCAGGCTAGCTTCTAAATCTTAAGAGAAAAGAAAAAGGAAAACGAATGCACACACAGTGGAAGTCATCGTGCCCATACGTATGCCTGCTGGCTAATACTGTTAGCTAACTGAAAGGGTAAAAAGTCATTCAGTTTACATTTTGTTTGCTAGAGTTCGGATTATTTTAATGCTAAAACATAGAATTCAGAGTGGGGGGAGAAAGATTTGTTTGTAATAAATGGCAACTGCTGGCTCTTGAAGGTTGCATTTCAACCATAACTCCTTTCTGCATGCATTCTGAGCGCTTCCCTTTTCGAGGGTATTGGCATGCTTGTGGCAAAAGCAACCAAACCAATTAATTAGGCACACGGTGAAAGTTAAAAAAAAAACAAAACAACCAGTCGTTTCCATTCTGAAAATCCTTATTCAAAGTCTCAATGTTGCAGCGATAAGCAAGCATGAAAGGTAGCAGACTCCTTCCTTGCATGAGAAGCAGACTCCTTTTTTGCATGAGGGACCCAGCAACACCAGTTGTGAAATGCACACATAGAAAGGCTCTTATATATTATATATACAACTGTAATCCAGAATAAATAGTACTGTTCTGACTCATAAATGTATTTCAGCTTGGTTGTTGTTGTTTGTCACAGCTGGAGATGGCTTGCTTTTCATCCCTTCTGTCCCACCCTTGGACACATCAATGAACAGCAATCTGGGAGTGCGGAGTGTCAGCAGTATCCTTTTGTACTCCTTCCGGAAATTCTGGTTAAGAAGCCCATAGATCACAGCGTTGAGGCAGCTGTTAAAATAGGCCATAAAATAGCTTAGGACAAAAAGCCATTCTGGAATGTGTGGCTGCACTTTTGAAGGATTAATTGAAACCGCAAGGCCAATAAAGTTTAACGGTCCCCAGCAAACAGCAAAAAGGACAAAAACTACAAACATAGTCAAGAAATTCCGGACGTCAGCTGCTCTCAGCTTCTGCTTGCAGTCTTGTCTCACCCGGTGTTTGACTTGAATCACCAAAATCCAGATCCGTAGGTAGCAAAACGTCACGATGGACAGCGGGACAATGAAGTGAACCACCACCACTGTGATGGTGTATGATGTACTCACCGTCTGGGCAAAGGTACAGGAGTAAATCCGGGGGTCATACTGCAAGGAGCCAACGAAGAAGTTTGGCACAATTGCCACCACTGTGAGCATCCAGGTCAAGCAGAGATAGCAGCAGGTGTTCTTCAGGTTGAAGAGCTTATCGTACCGAAGGCTGTGGCAGATGTAGCAGTAGCGGTTGATTGCGATCGCTGTGATGTTGAAAATGGACCCGATGACACTTAAACCCATCAGGAACCCACTTATCTGACAGTGAACATTTCCCATGGTCCATCCATTGTGGAAAATGGCACTCAAGATCAGAGGGTATGGATAAACTGCCACCACAAGGTCTGCGACAGACAAACTGACGACAAAGATATTGCCTACAAAAACAGGAGAAGAGACAGTGAGAGGTTAGCATAGGTCCAGATAGACAACTTGCAACTCACAACCCATTAGGCCTAAGTCTTCTCACAGGTTTCACTCCATCCTCCATCTGGAATCTGAAACCCTAGAAAATAAGACTTTGCTGTACTAGTGACAGCAATGGAAAGTAACTAGACATGATTAACTAGGCATATTCCTTCTTAAGACATTTCTAAACTGGAAGCATTACCCTTAACTCAGCTACAGCTGGGGGTCAGGTTCCTGCATTCCTCTAAGTTGTGTAGGAGAGGAGGATCTTACTCTCCTTGTTAATCAGCCAGCATGACTGTAGACACCTGGCAGGTACCTTCCTTTCGCTGTCCTGCAGAGAATTTAATTCCTTTAAATACCATACAGGACACAATACTTGCTATAACATCACATAGTGACACTTTACATAAGGTCTGTCCATCATGGGCCAAAGAAGTGGGACAGTGTTTTTCAGTGCTTTATTCATTCCACTGGCAGCAGTTGCACAGGAAAGATCTTTTTTGGTATTTTGCATGTGAACAGTGTATTTTCACCAGAATTTTTTCAGTGTTCATGTTGAGGCACATGTATTCTTCCAGAAGCCATGGTGCACCCAGCCTTTTTGTGCTTATCTTACTTGGTATGTTTTCCTGTTCTTTTAATATTAAAAGTTGTCCAATGCAATATGGAAGGTCAATCACTCCCAAACCGTCTTGGTCTGGGCAGGGAATATGATTAATAAACTGCTGTAAGCCATCTCTGCAGTATATGCTGCAGGTTGTCCAACTCTAAACAAAAGAGAGCTGAGAGTCTGTGCAAATATAAAACTATATATGTCTTGCTGGATTGCAAGTGGCACATTGTATGGGACAACACCTGTCAACTCCACTGTGTGGAGCAGCTTGTGTGGAGACCCGGGAAACCAGCGACTTCCTAACAGCAGTTCCTGCTCATTTTATGAGTCTGGTGCATTCATAAAATCATAGAATTCCATAGGTTGGAAAAGACCCTTGGGATCATTGAGTCTAACCATCAACCCTACTCTACAAAGTTCTCCCCTACACCATATCCCCAACACCACATCTAAATGACTCTTAAACACATCCAGGGATGGTCACTCAACCACCTCCCTCTCGTTCTGTCACTAATTGCCTGCGAGAAGAGATGAGCACCAACCTCTCTACAATGTCCTTTCAAGTAGTCGTAGAGAGTGATGAGGTCTCCCCTCAGCCTCCTCTTCCTCAAACTAAACAGTCCCAGCTCCTTCAACTGCTCTTCGTAAGATTGATGCTCCAGGCCCTAAGGCAAGCAAAAAGCCTTTCTCTTCAGTTTACCAGTCAGAGTAGAGGAGTGCATTAAGAAAGGGACCTTGAGGTCTTTCTGAAACTGCTGTAAATAGAGGACCAGCTATAATGTTGAAAAGGACATCTGCCAATATTCAACTTTTTGATGACTAGACAAATTGCCATTTCAGGAGAAGCTTGACATTGCAGTTAGAGGACAGCACACTAGAAAAAGTTGGTTTTTTTCCTAACTCTACTAAGTTCAGGTATATCTGCAGTGGCAGGAAGGAAAATATTACTAGAGTATCCATAGAAGCCATGTTTAACACATTCAAGGTGTTAACACCTACGCCCCTATGAGTTACAGGCAACATCCCAGCCTGCTGATCACACCTGCACCTTCTCTTCAAGCCCTCAAATCCTGCTGTCTACCAGATAATATAAAAATAACACTAAAAAGAGGCCCCTTTCTGCAGTATCCGTGAAAGGATTATCTGGGATCTCAGTTCAGCTGGTTCACTGGCTTCAGTATTTGCAAAATACACCCAAGGGCTGGCGGAAATCACGGCTGCATTGCCACTGCAGTTGGCTCATTGCTGTGTTTGTTGCCAACAAAAACTATTGGGACAAGTCAACAGTTCATATCAGGCAGCAGAGTCCACTTCACGCTGACTGGAAAACAGTCCAGATTTGAGAATAGCCCACGGCAGTGTGGAGCTGACATAAAGCATCATTTTAAAATAAATGTTAGCAGAGGTCATGTGAAGTGCTGAAATCTTTTTAGAGAGAGATTTCACATACACAGGTTTACTGCAGCACTGATTTGCCACAGCACACAACTTCTGTGGCTGCTGTGCCTCAGTGCTGCTTTTTTGCTCGTTTAATATCTTAACTTAGAGCTTTTTGAAATGCAGTCACTGAACCTGGACCTCATATAAATAACTCTATTTATGGCTGCTGTCAAGGGCAGAACCACCTGTGGTCAGGCTCAGCAGGAACTTTAGAGAGGGAGCGCTCTTTTGCAGCAAAACGTTTATTCATTCTATCAAATATATGCCACTTCAACAAAAAGCAAAATGCGTCTCCAGAACCAGAAGTTCTTTTTTGAAAGGTTTCCCAAAACAATGTTCAAGACAGCAAGACAGTTATCAGCAACCCAATTTAGGACTTCCAGAGGATGCTGGAGACAGACTCCACTCCTGGGACCACAACCCTCCCTATTCACGGGACCTGTCCCATTTGGATACACATTTATATATACAGGCAGTTGGAGAGCAAACCTCTGCATTTGCCTGGGATGAAAGACAGCCACATTCAACATGCAGTTCTGATCAGGCAAAGCAGAACAAAGCTGGATATTCCCTACTTAAGACAGCACATCAGTGGATTTAAACCAAAGCTTAGCAAAATCATAAAGTTCTTAGCCTCGCATCACTGCCAGCTGCTGGGAGAAATGAGCAGTCTCTGTAAGTTTTTCTTCATGAACTTCGATAGTTGGGAGGAAGTAAAAATAAAGGGGGAAAAAAAGTCTATAAAAATAATATTCCCAGATGGACTTAGCAGCTTGGATTCAATCCAAGAGCACAGTACTGTGTGTTTTATTTTGACACCACTTCATTGCATGTTGCCCCAGAAGAGAGAAAATAAGACTGTTTTATCAAGACGAGTTAATAATCTCCTCCTCTATTTGGAAAGCAAACCTGCCACCCTCTGCTCTGTGCTTTCACCTTGCAGTCTTGGCTCTCCTATCAGGCAGCAGGGCTATCGCCCCAGTAGGGCGCTGGGGCCCTGAAAGTAAGGTCAGAAAGCTTCACTTGGTGCTATTTCACATCTTCCATTTTATTTGGCAATGTGGTCAACTTCATATTCTTCTTCTGGTGAGATAAACACGAAGGTCAGACCCATATAATAGCCACTTGTCAGTCAGTCCTGACAATCAGTGCATTTTTAATGATCAAGTACTAAAAAGAGGCACATTGGATGCCTCCAAACACACAGAATATGCCCTTCAAAGCATGGAAACTGGCTGCTGGCTAATTATTAAAATATGAGTAACTTGAGTTAAACATTGCTTCAGCCTCGCAATGCCTGGTTTGCCATGAGACCACCATGTGCTGGGCCATGCAGCCAAAGGCTCGTGTCCTTGTCCTCTGTAGGATGAGATCGAACCCTTACTCCTAAAACCATTGCAGAATGAGAAGCCATCTAATGTGTGGCTTTTAAGGAAGATAAAGAGCAGTCTCCTACCAGATCATCATCTCTGAATATTTTTTTACATTTTTCCACTATAAAACAAAAGAGCCCTACCCATAAATAATATCAGCAGGACTTTATCTCAAATTTAAAGTTATCTGCTTCCGTGACACTATGTTCAGATATATCTTTTTCTTTTTGTTGGCATGTGATTATATTTCCTTATTAGCTTCCACATTTTCCATCCTGTTTTTAACTTCTACTTAGTATAAATTGGTTCATGTGCCACTTGTGCTCTGTCCCCCAGTTATGAAGTTATACATGAAGAAGCACAAATGGTCAAGAAAGGCAAGTCTGCCACAAACATACCAGTAATACAGACTTGGCCACCTTTTCAGAGAAACTTTAAATCTTTCTACGTTATGGAGACACAAAGCTATAGAGTATAGAGGTATGATGCACTGTTCACTGGGGTTTTTTGGAAAAAAAAACCAAACAAAAAAAACCCCGACAAAACAAACCAACCACAAAAGAACCTGAAACCCAGCAGCAGAGTAGGTGACAAGCCTGTGAGAGTAATACAACAGGGAATTTATCCCAGAACATCTTCTGCCCTGGTACTCCTGCCTTTGAGCTCCCTTCCTCCCTCCCATACTCCTATAATCCTGTTTCTGCTCCCTCCAACAGCCTGCTCCTGTATTCCAGCAGTTCCCTGGCCCTGCCTCTCATTTTGTCTGGATTATCCAACAACACAGGTTATCTGAGGACTTCTAGTTAAGTCCTGGTGCTAGGAAACGTGGAAATACCACAATGAGTTCTGCAAATCAATAAACCACATACGTAAAGGTCTTCAATGGCAGGCTGCCCAAACAGCACCTGACTTCCATGCAAAAGGACATCGTTCTTCTACAGAGATTAACTGAGCATTGCTGTACAAACACAAGGGTCATTGGCTCTGCCTGCCTCAAGAGGCTGTTGGAAATCCCTTGGTGCCCAAGCTCCGGTTGCAGAGATGCAGCCTCTCCCTGCTCTTCCCACACAGCAGCCGTGGGCTGTCCTTTAGGACACATGGATGGACTGTGTTTTAGGTACCCTGAGCTAGAAGCGAGGTTAAAAGGTGGGGGGAGGAAGGGGAAGGAGGTAAAATATTTTTGTGAAAATGGGCTATTTTTCTAGATCTCAAAATGTCCAAAGCAAGCACCCAAAACTCTTGCTCTCTGTTTTCCATATAAAGCTCTCTTACACTCACATTCCTTGCTGAAATATTACAGACCTGTTTGTTTCAGGTTAACAAGATAGAGATGCTCAATGCAGCCTGAAGTTAACACTGTTATCTGTACACCCAGTGAAATGAAACATCCTGAGTGACAGGAGTTGCACCAAAGCAGAGACATTTTTGCAGATCAACTTCTGCTCGCCTGGCAGAGTCCAGCTCCAACTGAGGAGGAAAGAGGGCTTTGCTGTCCAGGTTGCCCCTTCCTACCAGCCACCTTGCAGGCATCTGAGTTGCT